CGTCAGGGAGTGACCACAGCAGTTCCTCGGGTGGAAAGACAGCTGGTTCTCAGCGCCCACCTCGGACAGCCTTCCGCCCCAGCCTTGGTGTCCCGTGCCCCCCGGGTTGGTGTTCACAGGATTCATCATTTCCCAGCCTCTAGATTACTCTGGGGCTGATTAAATTAGCGAATGCAATCACAATCTGAAGCAAGTTAATTGAGAGAATTTATTTGGACCTGACAGTTTTATGCATGTTTGATTAAGTATTATAAGGTTTGTTTTTTATTTTGCATAATTTAACTTTAAATCCTGTGTGTGTGTGTGGGGGGGGCATCAGCCATTAATGACCAAAATAAACCTCTTTTAAGATGTATCTTTTTATGATTTATTTCTGAATGCAATATCTTCCAGATTTTTTTTTGACGCTATTGCCAAAGTGACAAATATGTTTAAATTTTGAGCCATCCCATTCAGGCTATAAATCTTCCAGAATGTATACGATTCATTAAAAGTTTTGAAAGAAGTACAAGTTAGCATTTCTATTGCAACAAGTGACATATAAATGCCTATGTTTGTCTTCCAAGCGTGCCATAAAATATATCCCCCGTGTGAGCTCCCCGGAGCCATACCAATCGTCCATGCTCTGGGGTAATGATGAACTTGGCCACAAATCTTCACTGCTGTCAACACGAAACTGTTCAATCAACAGGAGTATGAGTTGTGTGTTTTGTGAAATTAGCACAGGAGACAATACAGCCCAGGCCTGGGTCTAGGGACATTGGTGGCACTGGGAGGGCCTGAGCCCAAGGTGAGTGCTAACTTGAATGCAGGCTTCCTAAGCCCCCTCTGTAATCTGAGTCTGGGTGTTAGGAGGCCACTTGCATCAGGTGGCCAAGGGTCTTCTGCCCAGGGAAGTCCAGAGCCACCAAGAAGATGGGCAAGGAGCCCTGTCCTCCCCACGCAGACAGGCTGGGGTTTCCGCGCACAAGCCAAGCCAATGGCCTGCACTCCACGAACATCGCTGCTTTCCAGTGGTGGTGTTTATCAGCACTTACTCCACCATTGTGTGTTCACGGCTTCTCCCATGAGTGATCCCAGAGGCAGTAAGACCAAAGCCTCAAGGCCACGTGTGACCCACCCTCGAAGCTGCACCATCTTCCTGCCTTGCCCTCTGGCTCACACAGTTCACCCTATCCAGCGTGGTGGGGACTGCACAGGGGCAGGGAGCCGTTGTGGGCCACCTTGGGGGCTGGCTCCCCATAAGCTGGGGACAGGCCCTCCTCTGCGGGCTCCATGCAGGCCAGCAAAGCTGGTTCCTACAGCATCCCTCTAAGCCCATGTGTCCTTATCCGCACTTTATAGATGCAGGGCCTGAGGCTCAGAGAGGCTGAGATTTTGCCCACGGCAAGGAAGTGGTAGAGGTAGGAGTCACATCGGGCAGACGGGGTCTGGAACATTTGCTCTGGGCCACTCTGCACAGCCGTCCATAAATAGTCTGCTATTTCTGTGGCGAATAAAATGTCTGCCTGACATGGGGACATCTGCCAGGGGAGGCAAAGCCGTTTATCCTGAAGGCGGCCAAGAGGATTTGATGTGACACGTTCTTTCTCTCAAGCCATCTGGGCACATCACAGACCACCCCAGACTTGGTGGCACAAAACAGCCACCATTTAGTGACACTCAAAGAGTCCGTGGGGAAGGGTCAGGTAGGGCTTCTCTGCCCCACGCTGTCTAGGGCTCAGCTGGGGAGGCGCAGGGTGGTGGGTGCTCCGGTCTCCCAGAGGCTTGTCCACGCTGGGGCCAGCTTCTCCCTGCAGGCGCTGGGAGCGAAGAGGAGGCGGTGTGCGGGAGGCAGGGGCAGCCCCAGGGCAGCCCCCCTCAGGCCTCTGTTTGGCCGCAGCCCAGTTTTGCAGGAAAGAACTGGCTTGGTCTCCTGCTGGGTAAGTGGGGAGGTGGCTTCGGAAGGGCCTGTGCGGAGATGTCCGTGCAGCCGAGAGGACGCTGGGCTCCTGTGCTGTGTCTCCTTCACTGGCCTCCGGGGTCAGCTCCATGGGGCCACAGGACCCCCGCCCAGAGATGTGGAGAGGGGGTTTGTCAGTGGACTTGAAGTCGCACTGGCCCTGTCCAACGACCAGTTAAATGACCCTGGAGGCGTCCATCCTCTCCCATCCCTTCCCCTCCCCTGGCCCCTACCCTGCACGGCAGCTGGTGTCAGAGATCAGGGCTCTGCTCTCTAGGCATCTGCTGTCCCGGCCGCAAGAGCCACTCCCTGCCGGGACCCTGAAGTCAACCGGCTGGACACAATCCCCACGGTGACCCCATCCTCCGTCCGCAGCCCCAGCAAGTGGAGAGACAGAGGGATGGTGCTGGAGGGGCTAGGGTGGGCTCCAACCCGCCCCACACCCGGAGGTGGCACTCAGCACCCCTTGTCAGCATGTGCCCTGGGCCAGCCTCGGTGGGGAAAGTGCTCCTTCCAAGCAGGGGTTGGCTTGCTGTCCCTTCAAAGGCCCGACAAGCGTTCTAGGCCATGCCGCCAGGGGGTCTTGCCTGGCTCTGCGTTGGCAGCGAGCGCCACATTCGGCCCCAACGTGGTCTCCCACACAACTGGAGCCACGGGTCCCTCCTGCGTTTGGCAGCACTGTAGGCATCAGCCCAGCAGATGGCGCTAGGCCACTGCCCACAGCATGGCGGGAGGCCTGGCGGGGACAAGGACAGGGAGGGGCTGATGGGGACCCGGCTGGATCTCACGTGCCAGGGTAGCCTGTGGCAAATCCCCAGCACGTGGAGGTCCTGGGGCGACCAAGCCGTGGCCCAGCCACGGGCGCAGGTGGGTGCAGAACTCAGGGAGTAGGTAAAGGAGCCACAGCAGCCGCAGCCGGGAGGAGAGCACTGTCTTGAGAAGTCACATGAGCTGCGCATGCGTGGACCAGGTCACAAAGTGGAAACCCATCTCACGGTGGCCACAGCAAGACAGCACTGGGCCAGAGGAGACACAGGTCACCAACAGGGGGTCGGTTTTGCGTGTGGAGGGGGGGAGGCGGGAGCAGTCAGATGCCCCCACCACCGGGGACAGGGGCAGCAGGAGACTGGAGGTGCTTCCCAGAGATGGGGCATTCGAGCTGGGTCCGGAAGGGCAAGTGGGAGCTTGGAAGGTAGAGGAGGGGCACGGAGAGAGAAAAGGCCCCTGTAGAGGGGTGCAGGCTCCCACCCTGACCCCCGCTTCACAGGGAGTTAGGGGAGGCTGGCGGGTTCTGGGGGGTCACCCAGGGAAGGGCAACCCCAACCGTCAGAACAAAGACCAGAACCCACACCCGGGACACAGGCGCTTCCATGGGTACAGAGCTGGCTGATTCTCCAGACAGACAGGACTCGCCCTTTAATCCAAAGCACGTGAAGTGTTTCTCTGACCATGACACCTCTGTTGAAGAAAAATAATAAACAAGTCCGCACTGAAATTCTCGTTCTCCTGGGAAAGGGCAACGAGGGCTCCCTCTCAGTGTCCCTTCACTGTCCCCTTACACCAGGTGATATCCCAACCTTGGAAGCGATGGGCAGCAGACAGCAGGCTCAGCCCAGGAAGCCACCCCCACGGCTGGAGTGGCCAACCCCACCCGGGGCCAGCAGGGACTGGCGGAGCAGACAGCAGACCAGAGAGGGTGGGACCACCAACACAGGCAGGTATGAGGGGTGGCTGCACCCTTTGGGAACTAACTCAGGACACAGAGCCCGCCTGCAGCGAGGAACACATGACCAGGGGCCCAGCCTGAGGCACTGGCGAGTGAGGGGCACCGCTTTCCTAGAGATTCTGATACAGGAACAGGTTCAGGCCACTCTGGCTGACATGCACGTCTTTTTATTTGTCCAAATCTAGCTTTTTTTTTTTTTTTTGGTCATGCTGGAAACATAAAATCAGAAAGTACAGAAATGTTAAAAAAGAAAGTAAAATGTATTAATTTCTCTAATTCCACCACACATAGATAACCTCTGCTAACATTTATCTGCTTCCAGGACTTCACCCAGAAACAGACATTGAAAAATGTTTGTGCTGATGAGGGGGTCACACCAGACATGACTTTGTGAACCACTTTTGACTTGGCCTGGGGGGCCGTCTTCTGGGCTCAGTTGGCAGTGGGTTCACCTGACCCTGAGCTTAGCAGCAGAAGCTTCAAGGCCTATGCCTAATTTTTTATTTGTAATTTTGTATTCTTTTCTTAAGGAAGGTCCCTCGAGCCACAGAGCCTCAGGCCCCACAACCTGCGTCCGCCCTGGCTGTACGACGCTCCAGGGTCCGGGTACAGCCAGGGCCGGCCACAGCCTCACTAGCTGGCTGCTCCCTTCCAGGTCTCCTCATTAGCAGCTCGTTCTGATGGCCACACCCACCGAGGGACCTCCTTGGCCTTTGGCTCGGGGTGATGTGACCCACTGGAAAGAGTTCTGGCCCAGCAGTCCTGGGACATCCCCTGCATGAAGATCATGTCTGACAAGACACTTGCCACCCTTTCTGATCAATTGCCCCTCGGCCTGCCCCTGTCACAAGATGGCAGGTGCCTCAAGGGTGGGGGCTCTGCTGTCCCTGGGTCCTGGTACCCAGAGCAGGGCAGCAGTGTGGGTGGATGCCTGGCTCGCAAGCGCAGGCACACGTGCCATGCTTCTCTGGACGGCTGCACAGTGGGAAGCAGGGCCGTCTAACCCAGAGTTGGAGCCAGGGGACTTCAGGGCAGGGAGGGCGAGGGAAACCCACAGCCAGGAGGGGGCTGTGGCTCTGCTGCTCCCATGGCACAGCCACCAAATGGGCCAGGTGTGAACCCTGACCCACGGACACGCGACCACCCTCGCCAGCATAAGAGCAGCCCAGAGTGATGGGTGACCACCTCCTTTACACACCACCCTCTTCCTGGCCACAGGTGCATCTCCCGGTGCCGCTGTCCCAGCAGGAGCTGCACGGGAGGGGACAATTCTTTTTGGCTTGTCTCTAGTGCTCTTTAAAACAAAACAAAAAACGAAGGCAGGCATCAAGATGCTTTTTCTTATCTCAATGTTTTTATTTTTAAATTTTTTGCTGTATTTATTTTTGTGGAGGCCATGTTGCCAGCCATGCCGCCCAGGCTGGTCTGGAACTCCTGGGCACAAGAGATCTGAGGCTGGAATGACAGGTGTGGGCACCACACTCGGCCTTATCTCCATGGTTAAACGTGTGGATCTGCCTCCCATCTGCGGAGGGAGAGAAGTGAACCAGCAACGGGGTTATGGAGAAAGAAAGGAGACCTATTTATTGATTGATTTTAATTTTTTTGTAGAGACTATGTTGCCCAGGCTGGTCTCAAACTTCTGGGCGCAAGTGATGCCCCTGCCTTGGCCTCCCCAGGCAGTGGAATGACTGGCGTGAGCCAACCTTCCCCCGACACCTGTTTCTTCTGGAATATTTGCCTCCAGCCATCAATAAAGAAATGGGCTCTTGGCCTTTTTGCTGTGCTACCTCCTGGTGGCCTTTGCTTGTCCAGATGTCCGGGTAAAGGCGGCTCTCTCTCCCGCGGCGGGGACGGGGGCCCTGGAGCCAGCAAGCCGGCCTGGGAGGCCTGCAGCCAATGACGGGCCAGGCGGGCAGGGGGCCCAGCCCCCTCATTCCAGTTCCACGAATCTCAGGAGACACCCACTTTCTGGTCGCCTCGGGAGCTGGGGACCCTGCCTTCCCTTTCCCCTCCCACCCCGCAGCCACACCCAGGAGCGCTCCCCAATACACTCCTTGCTGGGACACCCCCGGGACACCGCCAGCCTGTACGGACCTGGCGCAGTGACACCATCGCAGGTGCCCTTCCTTCACTGGGGGGCCCTGGGCGGCTGCGAGGCCCGCGCGCTCTCCGGGGCTGTCCCCCACTCCGGCTGCCGACGTCGCCGACGCCCCAATGGGCCTCGCCGCTACCCGCCCGCTCCCTGCCGCCCGGGTCCGCGCGGCGTCGGCCGCCCCCACCCCTCCCCGCCCTCCTGGAGCCCGGGGGCGCCCCCATTCCCGCCGCCGCCCGGTCCTCCCAGCCCCAGGCCCGGCCAGCGCAGGGCGCCTCCGCACACGGCCCTGCGCGGACCAGACCTGCTCCCGGGCCCTAGGCCGCCCAGCCCCGCCTACAAGGCGGCTTCCCCGGGGCCCGGCCCCACCCCAGAGCCCCGCAGCAGCGCGCCGGGTCGCAGACACCGCAGGCGGAGCCGGGACCACGGCCAAGTCCCCTCCGGAACCAGAGGACGACTCCGTGGGAGCGCGCGTGCGCACTGGCCTGCCTCGGGGTGCGGCGACGCGTGCGCGGAGGCGCTGCCCAGGACCGGCACGCGCAGGCCAGCTATCTGCGCCTGCGCAGGATCACGCGCGGCGCCGACGGCGGCGAGGACGCTACGGACTGCTCCCGTGTGTGCGCGCACGCACGGGCGCACGCCCTCGGGAGGCGGCGAGTCCCGGACGCCCAGCGCGGCCCGGAGCAGGGGGAAGGGAGGCGCGGCTCGGTCGGCGCGGGCGGAGGGGGCGTGAGGCCGCCCTACGGTGGCCGCCGAGGGAAGGCGCTACGGCTCCCACGCTGGGCCAAACGCCTCCGGCGGCTGCGCCGGAGCGCGCCTTCCTCTGCCGGGCGACCTCAGCCCGGGACGCGTGAGCCACCCCCGCAGCCGCCCCGCCGGCCCCCCAGCTGCGCGCCCCGGCACCATGCGTCCGCCCTGCGCACGGAGCCCCAAGGGACAGGGGCGCCCGCAGGCCCGGCCTCCAGCACCGCCGGCCGGCCCCGAAGTCCCGGACGCCGGCGCCGCCGCGGAGAGGACACCGGGTGAGCGGCGGGCGGGAACCGGGCCTCGGCGGGGCCGTCTCCAGGGCAACGCGCGACGCAGGACCCGGAAGTGGCTCCGGCAGGGGCTCTGCAGCCGCGGGGCCCGACGCGGCGCAGGCCCGGTGCTCACGAGGCGTGGGCCGGGCCCGGGGCCCGTCGCGTCTCTGCGGCCCCGAGGAAACGGTCCTGGCCCGGCCACGGGCCTAGCGGGTGTCTGCGGAAAGACGGGGACCCGAGCGGAGCTGCGGACCGCGAGAGCCCCGCCGAGCCGTGTTTGAGGGGCGCCGCCATGGCTGGGTTCCGGCCGCGGCGAGCTCCAGGCCGAGGCTGGCCTTAAGCAGGGCGGCTCGGCCCCGGCACCGCGCGAAGGAACCGGGCTCTGCGGCGCGGAGGGTCAGGCGGCCCCGGCCCCTCCCGCTTCCGCCCGGGCCGGGTCCCCACGGCGGAGCCCCAGGCTGAACCCCCGTGCGTCAGGCGAGGCTCTTGGCTGCAGCCCCCTGCTCTGTTACCAACTTTCCTTCTCCAGTTTGACACGTCCTGACCTTTGCGTTCATGCCGCTCCTCGGATTATTTAGGCGAGCTCTAAGCGGCACTTACTAGGTGAAGCTAGAGCCAAATGCCGCGTGCGCTCTTTGCAGCCGGTCTGTAGGGCCGCTGCCCAGCCCCTTCCCTCCCACAGGACAAACAGGAGCCGGCTTGGCGTCTGGTGACCTGCCCAAGGGCACTGCTAGGGAAGGACAGTGCCGGGGTTCAGGCCTGGCAGGGTGACCCCGGGGCCCCCCAGCCGTCCATTCGGCCCCTGGCACTTGTCAGGTTGCTGGAGGCAGCTGCCCTCCCACCCCAAGGCTCGTTCTCAGTTTACCTGTCTCTTTTCCTGGCCCCGTGGTGGCTTCTTGCAGGTGCCATTCAAGGGCTATTGTCACCCCTGGGTCAGGCAGCCTCGGAAGGCCAGGGCGGTAATGGGCAAATGCATAAGAGCAGAGAGTGGTCCAGCGAGTGGGGGTCTGCGAGGATCCTGCGGGAAGGAGCCACGCCAGCCCCTTCCCGTACATTTTGGCATTGATCGCCACTGCCCCGAAGGCCTAGAGCAAACACTGGGAAGGTTTGAGAAAAGAGTAAGCCCAGGAGTGCCCGCAGATCGCGCCCTGGACTCCCTAAGTCCAGGCACTGGAGTTTGTGTCCGCCTTCACCTGCTGATGCCTGGGGAGGGATCCGCCTGGCGTCCTCATACTGACTTGGGTTTCGTGGTTCTCCCCACAGGCCGACGCCTCCCCTGAGGCTCAGCTGCGGGCTCCCAGGCCTAGGCGCCCATGACCCCTACGCTGACCACGCCTGGACGCCACCGCCGGGGCCCAATGCCGGTCATGCCCATCCCGCGGCGGGTGCGCTCCTTCCACGGCCCGCATACCACCTGCCTGCATGCGGCCTGCGGGCCCGTGCGCGCCTCTCACCTGGCCCGCACCAAGTACAACAACTTCGACGTGTACATCAAGACGCGCTGGCTGTACGGCTTCATCCGCTTCCTGCTCTACTTCAGCTGCAGCCTGTTCACCGCGGCGCTCTGGGGCGCGCTGGCCGCCCTCTTCTGCCTGCAGTACCTGGGCGTGCGTGTCCTGCTGCGCTTCCAGCGCAAGCTGTCGGTGCTGCTGTTGCTGCTGGGCCGCCGGCGTGTGGACTTCCGCCTGGTGAACGAGCTGCTCATCTACGGCATCCACGTCACCATGCTGCTGGTGGGGGGCCTCGGCTGGTGCTTCATGGTCTTCGTGGACATGTGAGGGCCGTGAGCGCGAGCTGGATTCATTGTCCTGGCCTGTGGCTGTGTTCTCTCCAAGGGTGGGGCTGGTCAGCGCCTTCGCTTCTGCCCATCCCGCAGGCAGGTGCTGCTGCCTCGGTGCCCACGGAGAGAAAAGAAAGGGCTGAGACTTACGTGGTGAGGGTGCGGGCGCTGCCCCTAGGCTGGCTTCTTGCGCCCACCCTCCTCTCGTGCACTCTCAGGTTGTACTGCAGGGTGGGCCTCTCTGCAGGACCACACCTGCCAGGGACTTCAGACATCACCCTGGGAGACCCCTGGACACAGGGCTGTGTGCCCAGGAGCAAATCCGGAGGGCTCCCCTCACTGACACACCACACTGCCACAAAGCTGCTCACTCTGCCAGGGGCCGCCTGAGGCCTGGCACTGCCCTCTGTCACCCTGAAGGGCTGTGGGTCCTGAGTCCCAGGCCAGCCTTCAGGGTCTCCTTGGTTGTGTAGATGCAGTCTAGCAGGGGGCCCCAGGGGCTCAGATAGGAGGGGCCTCAGCAGGTTCCCAGCTCAGGGGCTGGCCTGGGGGAACCCTGGGAGCCAGGGGACCAACTCCAGCAGCGCGGGCCTGCCTGCCTCTTCCGAGAGGGCTGTCAAAATGTCCTGTAGAATCTGTGGATTTCTGGGGAGGCATCTCCATTCCTTTCTGGCTTTTCTTGCTGGGGGTGGGGGATTGGGCCTCTTTATTTGAGGGAACACCCTCAAAGAAAGCCTGGGAAATAGAGGGTGCAGTGAGCTGGGATGGAGACTTGTGTGCCCCTAGTGTCTGGAGCAGGGAGCAGAGGCCTCAGTGCAGCAACCACTGACCTGGAGCCTGTGTGGCACCAGCAGCCTCTTGCAGCCCCGGGCGTATGGCAAGGTTCTACCCACGCTGTCCTCCAGTGACTGGGGGTTCTGGATGACAGCACAGGGGCAGGGGGCTGGAGGGGCACAGGTGCCTGTGTTCAGGGAGGGCGGCCACCGTGGGCCAGGCTCTCACCTAGGACCGCACACGCTGTTCCTCTCAGCCTTGCAGTCACTGCATCACTATGGCGACGGCCCACAGCTGTGTGACTTTGGGGGCAGATGGGAGGGCGCCCTGAATGATGATTGCAGGGATGACGACAGAGGCCGCCCTGGAGCAGGACACAGGTTGCGGTGCTCAGATGGCGACCCTAGCTTCACCCCAGTCCATGTCCCCACATCTGGGCATGGGTGGACCCTGCCAGGCGGACCAGTGGCCCTGGGCCATGAGGACAGTTGTGTGCCACTGGAAGAAAAACGTTTTGAGAAACCCTAAATCAGGTAGAGAAAGCAAAAAATATTTGGCCATAAACCGTGCTGTCTGATCTGTTGGCAGCTTCTGTGGATGACCTTCGAGGAGCCCCGCTTAGTCCAGGCCCCCGGCAGGTGGGCGGGAGCTTCCTTGTGGGGGGGTCTCATTTCTTGCTGCAGAGAATCTTTTGCACTAAGTCATGCTATTTCCTCAAAGAAGCTTTGTTTTTTGTTAACGTGTTCCTCAGAGTTGCCCGAGCCCCTTGGCAGAGGGAGAAGGAGTGGCGGGAGGGGCTGGCGGTGCTGCTCGCTGGGGGTCAGCGCCGCAGGGAGGGGCGGCACCGTGGTGCGCTCTGAGCACCTGGCTGCCTGCTGTCCTCAGTGCCTGTGAATTCGTCATGAGATGAACCACCTGCATTAAACCTATTTTTTTAATGTGTTGATGGAGTGATTGCTTAAAGCTCAACTTCTATTCCTTTTTTAAGGACATAGTAGTCAGCTGGAGCGCCATAAGGTGGAAAAGTTTTCACAAATATCTGTGATGCCGGGGGAGGAGCCCCCGAGGCCAGGGTTCCCCTTGTGGGAAGCTGCCCTGAGGAGGTGGCCTAACTGACGGGCGAGGATTTGTCAGCAGGGCAGTCCCCAGGACACTGCTGTGCAGGCCGGTGGAAATTACATTCAGCTGACTGGGCAGTTGAGTCTTTGGAGTTTTGCTTTTGTCGCCCGGGCTGGAGTGCAGTGATATGATCTTGGCTCACCACAACCTCCACCTCCCAGGTTCAAGCGATTCTCATACCCCAGCCTCCTGAGTAGTTGGAATTACAGTCCCCTGCCACCAAGCCCAGCTAGTTTTTGTATTTTTATTAGAGACAGAGTTTCACCGTGTTGCCCAGGCTGGTCTCAAACTCCTGACCTCAGGTGATCTACCTGCCAAGGCCTCCCAAAGTGCTGGGATTCCAGGCGTGAGCCACCCGGCCTACCTAGTTCAGCCTTGGGGTAAATCTGGGGTGGTGTTTCCGATGCTGCTGAAAGGAAAGAGGCCTCGGAGCTGTGAGCAAGCCCTGCGATGGACCTCGGGAAGGTGAACATGCGTAAAAAAAGGTTAGCAGAAAGAGAAAACCAAAGTTCTTACTTATCTAAAAACGCATTTGAGGCCAGCTGCAGTGGCTCACACCTGTAATCCCTGCACTTTGGGAAGCCAAGGCAGGAGGATCACTTGAGCCCAGGAGTTCAAGACCAGCCTGGACAACATAGTGAGACCCCGTCTCTACAAAAAATTAGCTGGCTGTGGTGGTGGGTGCCCAGGAGGTCGAGGCTGCGGAGAGCCGTGAATGCACCGCTGCACTGGGTGACAGAGTGAGACTCTGTCTCAAAAAAAAAAAAAACAGTTTGAAGATTGAGAGACATGCTCTTCTTCAGAATCTTTGCTTTGTAAAGGCTTCCTTGGCTTCAGTGAAGGGAGGAAGTTCACGTTTCTCATTTTGTCACTGGCAGAGGCTTCTAACAACATGAAGATGACAACAGTTTTCTCCCAGGCAATCATTATGGCCAGAAAGTGCCACTTAAGGGGAAACCAGCTGGCTGCAGTGGCTCACACCTGTAATTCCAACACTGGGAGGCCAAGGTGGGAGGATCACTTGAGCCCAGGAATTCCAGATCAGCCTGAGCAACAGAGAGGGAGACTCCATCTCTACAAAAAATATTTTAAAGTTTGGTGTGGTGGTGTTCACCTCCAGTTCCATCTGCTTGCTTGGGAGGCCGAGGTGGGAGGCGGTTGAGGCTACAGTGAGCCATGATTTTGACACTGCTCTCCAGCCTGGGTGACAGCAAGACCCCATCTCAAGAAAATAAAGGAAAACTATTCACATCCATTGTAGAGTTTTGTGAAACTGTTTCACCAAACTAAACTTTTGGGGTTTCATTTTTGATAGCAGAGTTTGTGAAATCCTTACAAAAACCTTTGCCCCTGAAAAGCTTAGGAGGGTGACATTTGTTTCCCCAAACCCAGGGCTAAGGCTTGACGTGGAGCACTGCTTCACAGACCAGGCTTCTGATCTGAGGGTCTGGGGCTCTGTGTGCCCCACAGGGGATGCCGGGCCGCAGCCGAGCCCCGAGGTGGGCACAGGGCCGGATACACAGCATTAGTTGTGCACATGAAGCTGGGGCAGTTAGCAAATGGGCCGCTGAGACAGCCAGGGAGAGCAGCCGGCAGGTGGCTTTGCCGGGCGGGTGTGGGTGAAGGTGGCTATGCTCTTGACGGCGGTCACACCTGGCCACGCACCGCACCGGAGAGGCTGCGCGGGGCTCCTGCCTTCCCTGGGGCTTCCTTGGTCCTCCCCGGCCGGTTCCACTCTGGTTTTCAGTGGATTTGGCATGTTTTCAGATGTTCCCTGCCTAGGCCGTCTCCATCCGATAGACTCCTGCTACCGTGGCAACGCCTCATCTGCACTGCCTCGTACAGTAGCCACTAGCCCACGGGGCTACTGAGCACGTGGACAGGCGCCACTGTGACCACAGAATGTCTCATCAGACCCAAGGAAACAGTTCCCACAGAAGGAGCCGTTCGTGGCTGGATTATAACAAGAGCATTTCTTTTTTTTTTTCCTTTTTTTTTTCAGAGATGGGGCCTCGCTCCATTGCCCAGGCTGCAGTGGCACAATCACAGCTCATTGCAGTCTCCACCTCCTGGGCTCAGGCCAGTCCCCTGAGCAGGGGCATGTCACAGGCTCCAAGAGCCAAGAAGCTTCCCCGTGGCCACGATGTGTGGCCTTGTGGGAGCCCTGCTGAGCTGGCTTCTCCGGGGGCTGAGGAGCCCTGTGGGGAATCTAGGGGGGGCAGAGCTGCCATCTTCAGGCTGTGTTAACCAGGCGTTTCCCCTGTTTTATTTTTTTGAGACGAAGTCTTGCTCTGTCACCAGGCTTGAGTGCAGTGGCATGATCTTGGATGACTGCAACGTCCACTCCCTGGGTTCAAGCGATTCTCCTACCTCAGCCTCCTGAGTAGCTGAGATTACAGGCACCCACCACCATGCCCAGCTAATTTTTGTGTTTTTAGTAGAGACGGGGTTTCCCCATGTTGGTTAGGATGGTCTTGATTTCTTGACCGCGTGATCTGCCCAAAGTGCTGGGGTTACAGGCGTGCACCACCGTGCCTGGCCTGCCCTGTTTGACAGGTTCCATTTTCAAAGTTGTTCTCCCCTTGAGGCCCCACATGACAGGCTGAGCTGTGCCGGGGCTCCTCGGAGGTTGTCCCCTGACCCTTTGTCCACAGTGACAGACGCGCAGACCAGACCATGCTGCGGTGACTGGTAAGGGTGCAACCAGAGAGGGATCTCCAGGGCCACCCATGGGGCTGCACGTCCGGGGCTCTGTCCTGCGCGGCCTGGGTCCTGCCAGCAGCTGGGTGGGAAGACACGCCAAGACCACTGCCTGGGGACCAGGGCATTCCACGGAATCGTCGCATTTAGAGCAGCCTGGTTTGCTTGTGATGGGTTCCACGTGTGTGAAAACGTGAGTGATCTGCATGCTTGAGGCTTCCAGGGGCGTCCAGCTGTGGTGAGGAGTCAAGGACTGGGACGGTGTTGAGAGGGAACGAGGCCTGAGCACATGGCTGCTGCCGCCTCCTGCAGAGGTCTCAGGCAGTACGCAGCCGCTTTGCAGGGAGCTGGGAGCTGGGCAGGAGACAGGACCCGTGCTTACCAGGCAGTCCACTCGGCCGTTCCCTTCCCGCTGCAAGCGGACCAGGTTGTCTGTGAGGGAGGGAAGTGGCCTGGGAAGTGCCACTCAGGGTGGCAGCTGGACCTGAGTGAGCTGGGAAGGACAGGTGTGGGCAGGGAGGGCCACTGGCTGCTCCTGGAGACGTGGGAAGTGAAGGGAGCTGCAGACCGGCCTGGAGATCAGGAGCATGCTGGGAAGGTTCTGGAATCAGAGCTGCCCTGCATGGGCTGGCTGAGAGGCCCCAGTGATAACACTGGATAGCATTGGATTTGGGAGTCATGGCTTTGGGAGGGGAGCCTGGCACCAGAGCTCCCTGTTCGTTCTGGAGGATGGGCGAGGGTGGGCAGCCCTGGTCCAATCCCCTGGACCGCAGAGAAGGCCTGCCCCCTAAGGCAGGGGCGAAGCTGAGGGGAAGCGTGGTGGGCTGGGGTGGGAGGAGTCAGGGCGTTCCTAGGGAGGGCAGTCCCTGGGCAGAGATGGGCGGGAGAGAGGCCTGGAGGTGCGGAGCGGCTCCATATCAGGCTGAGCAGAGTGCGGAGTCAGAAGTCACAGCCAGGCACGGGGTGTCGAAGAAGCCACCATAGCCAGCCCGGGGCTGCTGACTTAGTGGGCTCTGATTTTCAGTCTGTCCCTGGCCCAGGGGGATTGTGCCAAGTGGTTCCCAGAACCCCCCATTCCCCGTCGTCCATCACACGGGGACACCAGCTTGGGCACAGACCAAGGGTCTCTGTTGCAGAAGAGGGGAACCCGAGCCGAGGAGCCAGCAGAGGGCAGGCGAAGGCTGGAAGGGGTTGCTGGGGATCTGGAGATGCTGGGCCAGTGCTGTCCCGTCCCCAGCGCAGGGTGCACAGGTGGCCTCGGAAGGCTGCCCTGGCAGAGCCCCCTTCTGCAGCTTCCGCAGGCAGAACCACCCAAAACGTGCACACTCAGGAATGTCCTCCACCTCCCGCCCCTCCCAGGCGGCAGGACGGGATGGCAGGGGCTGAGGGGGAAGGGCCTGGGCTCCAGACACACAGCCCCCAGTGGGAAGGACGGCAGGGCCAGGCACGGACCAGAGCTCGACCCCCAGCTGCCGCATCGATGCTAATATTGATGCTCCGTGACCTTGGGAGGGCCTGTCCCCTCCAGAGTGCAAATGGAGGCGGGTGAGGGCCTGGCAGTGCCGTGGGTGCTGACGCAGCATTTTCTGGGGGAGGCAAATGTGCTTTGATCTGCAGAGGCCGGGGCAGGGGTCTCCTTTGGGAAGGGCCCCTCTCTGCCCAGGCCCTCCCCACAGGCCTCCGCTCATGCCCTCGGAGGCTGGGGCCGCTCTGCACCCAGCCCCCGAGAGCAGCCCTTCTCATTCAGGAGGCTACAGAGGCCGAAGTCCTGAAACCCACCCCCCACCCAGCCTGGCGCGCCTCCTGACAGTTCCCAAAAGAGCGAGCACCCTGCAGCACCAGCATCCTTGCCCAGGCGGGGCGTCCGGGTGCAGCTGATTCAGCGGCTTCGGGCCCGGCGCCCCTCCCCCAGCCCAGCTGGGCAGCGTGCCCGGGCCTGCCAGCAGCTGTGTCACACGGGCTCTGGCAGGGCTGCTGTGGCTCGAGGTGTGTGGCCCGCACTGCGCCTGGGGGCGGGGTGGCAGGCTGCTGCCTCGGCGGGCGGGCTGCCAGGCGCCCCCTCCCTGTGGAGCTGCTCCCCCTGCAGTCCTGTGCGGCCTCCTGCAGAGGAGAGGCCGGTGGGAG